CAGAGAGAGAGGGAGACACAGAATCGGAAACAGGCTCCAGGCTCTGAGCCATCAGCCCAGAGCCTGACGCGGGGCTCGAACTCACGGACCGCGAGATCGTGACCTGGCTGAAGTCGGACGCTCAACCGACTGCGCCACCCAGGCGCCCCTGTCATTAACAAATTCTAAAGTCGTCACCCTGATTGGATGGTAAACTCTGAGATTAGGGATTTCACCACAAATTCTTTTTTTTGTTTTATTTTTGGACCCCTCCCTCCTCCTCAGAATTTAAGTACAGTGCATATTGCAGACACTCAAACATTTGTTTATTGACTGAAGGGGAAATCCCTTTGTCTCCAAATCTGTCTTTGTGAAGTTCTTTTAATCACCATTCTTTCCTTTTTTTCTCTCCACGGTGCTATTAGCGTGTTAACATTTTTTAAAAATGTTTCATTTATTTCTGAGAGAGACAGACAGAGCGTGAGTGGGGGAGGAGTAGAGAGAGAGGGAGACCTAGAATCTGAAGCAGGCTCCAGGCCCTGAGCTGTCAGCACAGAGCCCAATGCGGGGCTTGAACTCTCAAACCATGAGATCATGACCTGAGCCAAAGTCGGATGCTTGACCCACTGAGCCACCCAGGGTACCCCCGCGTGCTTATGATTTAAATGCTTGCTTACCACCAAATCTTCCCATAGTTTTCATCAAGGTGAGACTTAATTGTAACAGAACTGTTGGCAAGTTCTTTTTTATATTTCGGAAGGACAGTACAGTTGTGGGTAATACAGCTCCATGACTGAATTTCTTACAGCAGTGAGGGAGTATGTCTTTTAAGGCAATACATTTCTGAATGTAAACAAGTTCTCTCACTGTGATTTGTATTTGTTGGTGTAAACTTAACTCTGATTACTAGTGCAAGTACTTGGACTTTTGGGCCATCTTGCTTCCCAGGAGTGTTTTCTGCCGATTTCAGGTTTCTCCCTTTGGTTTCACCTCCATTCCAAACTGTCCCACTTCAGAGCGCTCAGACTCTGAAATTGCTTTCAGGCTCGTAACTTCCATCCCTCCTCCTTCCTTGCTCCCTCCCTTGTTCCCACTTCCACATGCACCGGATCCCCTGTCTTCTCCCAGTTCTCGAACCTCCACGTGCACATGGTCTCAACCCTGTTCAGCCTTTGCAGCCACCTTTTGACTTTATCAGCTTTTCTGCTCTGTTTCCCCTGCTTCCCATCCCCCATGCCATGTTATCTTTTTGTCCCATCTCCCTATTCCCAGCCCTGGAATTCCAGGCCACTTGGGTCCATTATAATCCACGTATTGGGGTTCAGCTGGGCTCCCAGAGCTTGAAGGTCTTTATGCTTTTGTTGACTCTGTCTCCCTTGTTACCACATATTTGCAGCCATCCCCACTTAGGATGTCCTGCACCCCCTCCTTACTACAGAGCCCAAGGTAGACTTCTTCACTCTCTGGAGATATTCTTACTTGCCCAAGGAGATTGAGGGGGTGCCTCCTCAGCTTCTGGCTTCTTCTGGCTCTATCTCAGTTTTGTTGCTGTTATCGTCGTCTTTATCTTCCTCTCTGACTTCTGACATGCCTATCTCTGAGGCTGACCTCCTGAGATTGTGTTGATGAAACTGACTTTTTAAGCCAGTTTCTTAACGTGATGAACGTGGGTTATAGTTCTTGTTTTTTTTGTTTGTTTTCGTGTCTGTTCATTGTGGATACAAGCGGTTTTGAAATGAGCATCTTTGGACAGCTGTATTGCCCACTTGTACGAGTACAGGCAGCCCAGGTTTGCAGGACTCTGGCATGCTCAGTTTCGGTCACCACAGTTTAATTAAATAACACCCGTCCCCAAACAACATGGTTCAAATTTCAGTTCCAAGATTTATTAACTGGGGGGAGTTGCGTAGAGTGCAGCCTTTGCTGCTAGCTTTTTCAGTCCACAGATCACTGCGTACACAACACATGCGTATGGTGGTCAGTGACCAATGTGGCTCCTTTCAAAGCCTGTCAGTGATTGGTTACTGTCTGCTTCTGTTGCTCAGCAGCTCACAGACAGCAGGGCAAGTGGTGGGTTGCTTCTGTGTCTCCTGGTGGTGAACGTACGTGACAGTTTATAAAATGGATAATTGAAAGAGAGGATTGGCCGATAAAGATGCAAACTAAGTAAAGTGATAATGCCAGAAGTGAAATTCAGTTCAAAAGTAAATGGGGTTATGGAAGGAAAAGCAAGCTGCGGGAATGTTCACACTGCCTCTGTTCAGCGGCCTCCAGCTCTGCGGCCAGAGGACCTCGGGGATGGCGAGGTTATCCCCCTGGTGAGGAGTGTGGTTGTGATGAAAAGGATGCAGATGTCCCAGAGGAAATGACACTGGCACAAGAATTCATATTAATCGAACTCCTGCAGATACGTGACGATATTGAAAGTGCAAAGGTTACAACGTGGGGAACTGATCTAAGCTTGCGAAGGAATGTGGCGGTCTGTGAAGGCACGGAAAAGTTTCTCACTATGGAGTATAAGTAATGTGACGAGAAGAAGAGAAAGACTGTTCAGACTATTCTTGATAAGTTTATTACTAAGAAAACTTTAACCCTCCATGTTTTAAATTACAGTGTAGGAAATACAGATGAGGTTTGCAATTTTTTCATTTCCTTGTATGTTTATAATTGACCGTAAGAGTTCTTAATGTTTTTGATAGAAACGTAAAAATTACCTCTCATGGAGCGCCTGGGTGGCTCAGGTGGTTAAGCCTCTGACTCTTGATATCGGCTCAGATCATGATCTCACAGTTCCTGAGTTTGAGCCCCATGTCCGGCTCTGTGCTGACAGTGCAGGGCCTGCTTGGGATTCTCCCTCTCTCTCTCTCTCTCTCTCTCTCTCTGCCCCCGCCCCCACTTGCACTCTTGCTCTCTCTCAAAATAAATAAGCATTAATTTTTTTTAAAATTACCTTTCATATGTTTGTTAGTTTATACCTCAAAAGGTTTAGGAGAATCCCTTAGTGTTCTGGTACTTTGTTCCATTTGTCATTATTTGCATATTTGTTCGAGCTTTTCCTCGGATGACTCTCTATTTGAATGGACGTGTGTACGCTTAGGTTTTTTTATTTCCTTAAAAAAAGGTTTCACTAGACCCAGTTGTGTTTGAGACCCACTGTGCTCTTGCTTTCCCTTCCCTTACCCCATTTTCTTCTGCAATAAGTTAGACCTGCTGATTCAATCTACTTACGGTTTACTTTCTCTTTAGTTTTTACAGTCACTTGACATTAGGCACCTTGAGGACAAAGGTCGTGTCTGTTTTTTTACTGAGTATTCAGTACCTAAGCCTGGGGACTGGTATATATGGTCAGTACTTGATATGTTTTATTTGAGGGAGTGAGTTCCTAAAAGCCTGCACCCAACACCCACCCTGCCCCATTCACCCATTTCTCTTGTGGAGCCTTCTCTGATCTCCCTCTCCCCAACCACCCCAACCTTTCTCCTTCTTTAAACAACTATGTAACTGCAGGTGCCTCCTAGAGCCTGCCAAACATGAGCCATTTATGCTGTTATTTTTACCCTTGCCCACACAAATAGCAGCTCCCTGAGGTATGTCTTTCCTGTGCATAACATAGTCATTACACATAGTTGGTACTGAATGCGTATTTTGTTGGATTTTCCTGCAAAGTGAGATTCCAGAGAGCTGTCAAGGAAACTCCATCCCACTAAAAAAATTAAGGGTTGTTCTATGAATCTACGTATTCCACCCCCCCTTTCTTTTCTAATTCTCAAACAAAAATTCTGTCTGGTGTATGTACTTATTTTAAAATCAAAGGCCACAAGAGTGGGGAATTGAGAAAGTGGCAAAATGTTAGAGCTGGAAAGATTTTTAGAGATCCATATAGTCTCACCCTTTAATTTTATAGGTGAATAATTTGATGTCTGGAACACTTAAGTGATCTTCCCCAAATCACACAACTAGTTTGTGGTAACATTTGGGGCCACAGTGCAGTTGCCTAACCCTGTCCAGTGCCCGTTCCCATAGGCTGCCATGGGGCATATGAGAATATTGTTCAGGTTTGTGTAGTTGACCTGTTCAGAGAGGCAGCTAATATTCTCATATTGCGTTTTGTGGATTAGCAAGTAGGAAATTGAATCTGTAAATTGATTTTCCTCTCTCCATCCCTTAATTATTTCAAGTTCTCTGACTAGATTCATTTGCATTAACTGGGAAATTCTGGAAACATTCGTCCTGGATGGCACAGATTTGTTTGCTGACATGTAAGCAAACTTTTTCTTGAAGTATAACATACATGCAGAAAAGTGCACAAAGCGTAGGCGTGGGGTTTGAATTTTCACAAAGCACGCACATCCACGTGACCTGTACCCACAGCAGGAGACAGAGCGGCCCCAGCACGTTGAGAAACATTTGAAGAACTAGAAGGGTTTTGAAGCTATATAATTTTCTTTTTTCTCCCCGCAGGTATTGTCAGTCTGTGTGTTAACAACAATCCTTGGTTGTATATTTGGTCTGAAACCAAGCTGTGCCAAAGAAGGTAATTACTACAGTATAAATACTGTGTGTGTGTGTGTGTGTGCACACATGGGTGTGTGTGGCTACTTAGTCCTCTTCAGAATGTGACTGAGAAAAGTGTCCTGTCCTAATCTGTGGGTACTCCACAGTTATTGCAGATGTGATAATGGTTTGAGTCTTCTTAAAACTCTTTTATTATTTTAGCCATGTAATGTTTTATTTAGTTGTAAAACTTCATCCTAAAACAATGAAGAGGGGCTATCACCAAAAAATCAACCAAAGAACAAACCCCCAAAACTACAAAAAATAAATTAAGAGCAGTGAAACATACAAGCCAACATGGCCTAAATGTTTTGGTGCTGCACCCTGGAGCCCTTCTCCCTGGACTCTCTCCAGGAACTCTGAGGACACTCTTTTTTTTTTTTTTTTTCCCAAGGAGTTAGTTGCTGAAGCAGCCTGGAAAGATTACTTGGTAACCAGTTAGCATCGCTGGGCAACCAGAAATTTATCGTTATGCGCCCTAACAGCTTTTAAAATTACGAGCATTTGTGGTTTCAAAGCTATAGTGAAATGACAGTTTTAAGCTTCTACGTATTTTTTTTTCTTTATATTGAGTGCAGAAATCTATCCAGCATTGATGAGATTACTGTAACTAACAAAACTCTGAATCATAGTACATTGCAGTAGTCCTTATTTTGGCTCTGAGGTAGGTTTCTCCCCCATGTGAAATCACTGATGGTCTTCTTAGGGAATTCAGTTTTTTAAAATTTTTTTAATGTTTTAATTTCCTTTTGAGCCAGAGAGAGACAAAGCATGAGCAGGGGAGGAGCAGAGAGAGGGGGAGACACAGAATCTGAAGTGGGCTCCAGGCTCTGAGCCGTCAACACAGAGCCTGATGCAAGGCTCGAACTCACGGAGTGTGAGATCATGACCTGAGCTGAAGTTGGATGCTCAACCAACTGAGCCACCCAGGCGCCCTGGGAATTCAGTTTTGAAAATTGAAAAATTATTTTCCTGTTCAACTCTTCTGTGATTGTAATATTGGTCATTTAAACAAGTGTACTGATTTTTAAGTTTTCACTTATTGCTTAAATTAAATGTAGTAATTAAATGTAGTATACTTTCATGTGTTTGGTCAGCCGTCTATCCAGAGCAAAAGTGTCTTAAGATGAAACAGCTACAGACTTTAATGTTCATCTAGGCATAGGTATGAAGTAGTTTAGTTTGAGTTTAAACTTTGAGTTTAGTTTAACACATAAAAATAAAACTGAAGGTTTAAAAAAAGTAATTTTAATCTAAACCTAACATAGTATGCACAGTATTTTACAAACTACTAGGTGCTTAATAATGAGCCTCAAGTAGTAGCTATTATTCTAACTAACAGCTTTCCCTGGCCCTGCCCAGGTCAGGAATGTTAGTATTCCTGACCTTAGAAATTACTGTTGTCATTTCATGTCTTTAAAATTGCCAATTTTCCCAGTGTCATGAGGGTTAAATTCTATGGCAGTGTCTTCTTGGGTTAGGAGATCCCTAAAGTCAGGAGCTAGGATTATTCTTTTTTTTTTTTTTTTTTCTGTTGGACTTTCATTATTTTACAAGTGGGTTTGTTTTTTTTTTTCCTCACCATCCTGATGTTTTAGTAATCTGATGAGAACCTAGCTTTTTCCAGGTATATAGTAAATACAACATATAATTATTGTATTTAATTAAAAGTTTTCCTTCCATATCCGCCATTTATCCATTTAACAAAAACTTACTGGTACCAGCTATAGTCAAGCATCTTGCTGGGCGCTAGGGATGCGGTGTGCTGGGTACAATGCAGGTGTGGACTTTGCTCTCAAGAAGTTGGTAATCCAGGGATGATGCCTGAATGGCTCAGTTGGTTAAGCGTCTGACTCTTGATTTAAGCTTAGGTCATGATCTCACAGTTTGTGGGTTTGAGCCCCACATCTGGCTCTGTGCTGACAGTGCTGAGCCTGCTTGGGGTTCTCTCTCTCTCTCTCTCTCTCTCTCTCTCTCTCTCTGCCCTAACCCTGCTTGCACTCTCTCTCTCTCTAAATGAATGAATGAATGAATGAATGAATGAATGGAAGTTGGTAGTTCAGTGTGAGACTGGGATATTAACCAAATATTCTAGTTCAAATGGAATTAGTGACTGAGGGGAAGGACAAGGTTTTACAAAAGCTTAAACAAAGGAAATTGGACCTTGACTGGGGAGTGTAGGAACCAGATCTGAAGGTGAAATGCGTACTTTAGGTGATGGTGGGAGGGAGAGTCCTGCAGAATGTCCTGCATAAGCACATTACTTCTTTGATACACCCAGAGTGAGAGTACGGTGGGGCAGGTATTCTTTCTCCTCCTGAAATATTCAGATAATCACTTTTAAAGTCTTTTCTCACAGTTTGGAATTTTAGAGAATGTTATATAAGCATAAAACTTTCAGAACAAGTCCTTATTCAGAGGGGTGCCTGGGTGGCTCAGTCTGTTAAGCGTCTGACTCGATTTCTGCTCAGGTCATGATCTCATGATTCCTGAGTTCGAGACGTGCATTAAACTCTGTGCTGACAATGTGGAGCCTGCTTGGGATTCTCTCTCTCCCTCTCTCTGCTCGCTCTCTCGCTCTCTCTGTCTCTCAAAATAAATAAATAAACTTAAAAAAAAAATAAAAAGAACAAGTCCTTATTCTGACTTTTCTTTACCATGCCATAAGTATTGAAGTCTTATCAGACCCGGTAAGGTTCGTAATAAATTTTAAAACTTCTTTTTTCCCCCCTATGACAAGAGATAGAATTTTCTTTTTGTGCCACTTTCTATGTGTATTTGTGAAAAGATTCTTGGGTAACTTCATTACCCCATCTGTATTTTCTAAGGTAGGATTTGAATCTAACTTATGTATACTAGTTGATGTTTGCTTCTTGATTCTGTGATTAGAAACTTCTAACTCATTATTTGATATTTTCAGTTAAAAGTTGCAAAGGTCGCTGTTTTGAGAGAACATTTGGAAACTGCCGCTGTGATGTTGCTTGTGTTGACCTTGGAAACTGCTGTCTGGATTACCAGGAGACGTGTATAGAACCAGGTAAATAAAAATACGCAGGGGAAAAGATGATGTCATGGGCACTAGTCAAAGATCAAAAAAAAAAAAAAGTTCTGCATTTTTTAGAAATGTGATTTATTGAACTCACTTGAGGCTTTTTTAAAAAAATTGGCCTTTGCATTTCCTTAGAGAAGAAATTTCATGTATTTTGCCTTTGTTAAACACTTTATGGATAGCAAAACTGTGCTTGTGTTTAATGTATGCCGAGAGCCTGCGTAATCGAACTTGCACTTACACTTCAAAAAGTCTTCTTGAAACATACGAGTACTTTCAGTGTGGGCTCGCTAAAGCCAGAGTTCTTAGACATCCACTTCTTTTTACTGAAGTGTAGCTGACACAGAATGTCACGTTCGTTCCAGGTGTACTTAGAAACCTGCTTAACACTTTGAAATAAAACCGTCAGAATGTGTATATTTTCTGTTCCATTCAGGTTTGTCTACATAGGACATGTTTCCTATTTAAATGGGAGTAAGCCAGTTTCAGATTAAATGTTGAGAACCCTGAAAATGGCTGGTGGAGAAAGCCAAGATCTGTATGTGAATTGTATAATAACCATGTTTGCCCATGTTTTCAAATGATGAAATTCTGTTTTCTTTAGTGAAACAATAACAGCTGTTGCTTGCATGCTTTCTGTCTGTTAGTTCAGGTCGACCCCTGTGGTGGCAGATTCTGTGAGTAACTGAGTTATGAAATAGTTCGTTGTCCCTCCTGGATCGTGCTCCAGAAGAGAACAGTTCTGTGTCTACTTTGGATGTGTTCAATTGGGACCATAACACGTCTTTTGTTGTTATTTGTTTCTAGAACACATATGGACTTGCAGCAAGTTCAGGTGTGGTGAGAAAAGATTGCCCAGAAGCCTTTGCTCCTGTTCGGATGACTGCAGGGACAAGGGTGACTGCTGTGTCAACTATAGCTCTGTGTGCCGAGGTCAGGTTCCCATGCACCCATCGGGCTCTGCAGCAGCCCGACATCCTTCTAGGTGTTAGCTGGGTTTTGCACAGGTGTCATTTTTTACATTAGGAGTCATATTTGTTGACCAACTGTCTTAGCTGAAAAAATACTTAAAAAACATCTTATTAGAGTAAAATTCAAATAAAGAAAGTATGTAATGAATCTCGTACTCATCAGTCGTTTAAGAATCACTATTTACACATGGCAAATCTTGTTCTGTCTATAGTAGTTCACTCTCCTGCTGCCACCCCTTCATGTTATTTTGATATTAGCTACATTTAAAAAATTTTTTTTTATTTTTAAAACAAAATTTTTTTAATGTTTATTTATTTTTGAGACAGAGACAGACAGAGCATGAATGGGGGAAGGTCAGAGAGAGAGGGAGACACAGAATCGAAGCAGGCTCCAGGCTCTGAGTTGTCAGCACAGAGCCTGATGCGGGGCTCGAACCCACAGACCGCGAGATCGTGACCTGAGCTGAAGTCGGACGCTCAACCGACTGAGCCACCCAGGCGCCCCGATATTAGCTACGTTTTTAATGCTGCTTTGTGGAAAGATCACTTTTTGTAGTCCTGGCTATCTTTACGTTCCAGGTTCCCTCGTAATGTAAATGAGGGCAATGTATGCCATGTGTTGAAGGAGTAGATGTGAAATTACTGCCCAAGGTTATATAGGGTATTATGTAAACTGATGCTATTGTGAGGTTTCATCCAGTTGCAGGGTTCTTTGAAACTGATAAGAGGAACTAAGACATCAAGGATTTAATACTAGAAGATGTTAGTGGATAAAAGGAGGGTTGTAAATGTTGGCTGGAAATATGAACAACTTGAAAATGGAAAAGATGCCTTTAAGTTCTCACAAATACAGTCACATGTTTGAGTCTTGCATTTAGTTTTCCGTTCATTGTTTTTCTTCCTGATATCAACTGGCGGTTATTTTGAAACACAATAACTTACTGTATTTATTGTATTTCCCTAGAACCATGACCCATATTACGTATATATGTGTTAACATGTTTTGTTTTTGGAATCTGTCCTAAGATGTCTCACAGCATCACAGTTATTGTCACTATTCAATATGTTCACTTTGTTTTATTTCTTGAAAATATTTTAGGCGAGAAGAGTTGGGTAGAAGAAACATGTGAGAACATTAATGAGCCAAAGTGTCCAGCAGGGTAAGATGATATTCTGAGATACTATTTTGTTAAGGTACTATTTTTTTTTCTCTTTCCAAATTGAAAAGATAAAAGTAATAATTAGTCATTGGTTCATTAAATGTTATTTTTTGTCAGGCCCTGTGGTGGGCACTTGTGGCATACCGTTGATTATGGAATGTTCCCCACTCTGGAAGCTAATGGAAAAAAGAGAGGCCACGACTATTTAGTCTTTAGTATTCATGAGGGTCGCTGGAAGTGTGTTGTCTTTCTCCTTAAGAAGAAAGGCCCTTTACTTAGTTTTGAGAATCAAACCTGTAGCAAGTTACTTTACAGCTTCCTTTTTATTTTTTATATTTTGGTTCACTTATAAATTCGGGGGATAAGCAATGTGTCTGTGAGAGAATGTTGCATAAGTTTTATAATTCATCTTTGTTCTTTTTGTCCTTAAAGTATTTTGCCCAGTACCTTGTGTATACTAGGCCATCAAAAAATCTTGTGTGGAATTCAAAGGGGGAGATTTTGTGAAGATGTAACGTAAATTTTCTTTGCTCCACTTGAGATCTACTATTTCATATAATTTGACTTATTCATCTTCAGAAACATATTTTTACCTTTTTAAAGTAATGAGTTTTTTCCCAAACTATTCAACATTTTAAAGCTGTACGTTAGCTTATTTTGTTTGTGTATATAATTTAGTTTTGCTTTATAAGATGGGCGTTTTTTTTTTTCTTTTGGATGAAACAGTACTTTTTTTTTGTTTTGTTTAAAAGAACAGTAATAGCAGCAGCAAAAACTAAACCCAAACCAAAAAATTCCAACAGAAGAGACTTTTTTCAAAGGGTGCGCTCCTGTGCCTTGAGCTGTCTTTTAAGTTCAAGACATCTTGGAAAATTTAGACTTAGTGAATTTTTAATCTTTCTTTTCCTTCTACATATTGATCATTACTTTTCAGTTGTAATGTTGATCCTTGTAGTGGATATGTAACTCTTCCTTTCTTTACAATAAGATCATAAGTTAGAACATGTGTTATTCTACTGGAAGTTATACCAGTTTATTTACCTGATGGCACAATAAACTGTTTATGTTTTATGTTGATTGAATACAAATAATTTTATACAGTGATGGACCATTGAGACCCTAGGCATTGGTTCTGGAATCTTCCAACTGAGCTATGATGCAAATACTAGTTAGTGGAAATCACATACCAATATATATATTTTTTTCTTCTTCCTTTTGTGTTTGCATGTGAGAGTAAGCTGAGGAGGAGGTAGAATTGAAAAAGGCAAGAAGAGTTTAGCATTTGCTCTCAAATTTTAAATTACTGAGTAAGCTTTAAGTGGAAAGTTTTTTAATAGTTATCCTGCAGTGTTCAACTCCCTACAGTCTCCCAATTATCATTAGAAGTTCAAAATTTCTGAACCATGCCCATTTTGGTTTGGCCATGTAACAGTTTTCCATAGTTATTCACTTTGACTGAGCACATCATTGTACGTGGGTTTTTTTTTTTTTTTTTGCCTCCTTTGGATTAGTGCACCACATACATCGTGTGTGTGTGTGTGTAGGCTACAATGATACATACATGCAATACACACTATCACTACCGCCACTATTGTTCATTTCTAGCTTTGGATCATTTGTTGTTTATTTATTTAAATGTAGTAAATACATCTCAAACTTCTCAACTAAATAGTAACATCTTTCAAATACAGTAAACTTAAAAACCAAATATTATGGGGGCGCCTGGGTGGCTCAGTCGGTTGAGCGTCTGACTTCGGCTCAGGTCGTGATTTCGCTGTCTGTGAGTTTGAGCCCCGCATCGGGCTCTGTGCCGACAGCTCAGAGCCTGCAGCCTGTTTCAGATTCTGTGTCTCCCTCTCTCTCTGACCCTCCCCTGTTCATGCTCTGTCTCTCTCTGTCTCAAAAAAAAAAAAGAATAAACGTTAGAAAAAAAATTTTAAAAACCACAAATATTATGTATAATTTTTGTGATATGGGGTACCATCTATTAGATTCATGTAGACAATATCAAAAGGTGGTTGTTCAGGAAAAATCTTAATGGAAATAAAAACATAATTTAGAAAATGCTGTTGCTAACATTTATTCTCCTGGAGATTGGGAAAATATTATTACATTTTAGTAGCATTTGGTCCAGCTTTTGGAATAGCAGGAACCATGAATGATGTTCTCCATATGGTGGCTCAAAATGGTGTAAATGCTTGAAAATACTATTAGACGATATATGTATATATATATATATATGTATATATATGTGTGTGTGTGTGTGTGTGTATGACATATATATATAGTGAAATATAAAAGCATATATATGAATATAAATGTAATATCTCCTTTATAAGAATGCTTGTTGAACTTGTTAATTTACTTTAGATTACATACTGACCTCAGTGAAAAATTTTCATTTTTCATTTTTCCCTGTGCCAGGGAAAAATCTTCATTGGATGTGTATCCTCCTTCTGCTTCTTTAAACATTGTTTTTCTTCTTTCTCATTACCCAGGTTTGAAGCACCTCCTACCCTCTTATTTTCTTTGGATGGCTTCAGGGCAGAATATTTACACACTTGGGGTGGCCTTCTTCCTGTTATTAGCAGACTAAGTAAGTAACTTTGGAGTTCACTGTTGAGGTGTCACAGTTTCAGTGAGATAGACTAGGGAGGCAGTCTTTTTTTGGAAAAATACTGGCAGAATGTGTTTTACCAAACCTCTCTATGGCAAAGTAGTTGAACCTGATGATAAGGAACTAGTCTTCAATATTGTAATTACTTTGAAGCTGCCTTTTAAATACTTCTAAGATAATAGTTATACACACACACACACACACACACACACGTGCGTACAGCATGTGTATATATACAGTTGTATATAAATATATTCACACGCATATAAATCTGTATGTATTAGAATTTTGGATTCCTTTTGTGGAAAAATCATTTAATAATTATTACATCTTAAAATAGAATTTCAAAAACTGAAGGTATTTCTGATATGCTTCTAGTACTGTAGACATTGAATATTTGCTAGTTATCCTATAGTACCATGTAGCATCCTTCCAATTTCTTTGCTTCACTCAAGGCCTTAATTGGATGATTATTCTGTAATCAGAATTGATTACAATTGATGCAATAGTAGAATAGTTTGCAATTATTGATGCAATAGTAGAATAGTCTTTTCTTAATATTAATGCCAGAGTTTTAAATCACATTAACCCCCAGTTATATGGGTATTACTTGTATCATCGTTACTGAAAAAGGAAAAAAAAATAGTTTATGGGTATAAAAATTAGAGAACTTTGCTCATTATCAGTGATCAATAATTAAGTAGTTCCAGTGGAACGCTAAACTGAAATGGAAGTAAATACAACTATGTTGGAGTTCTGAATTGTAAAATATTATTTATTAGGCTTGAGTGTATGAGATTAGTGTAAACATTAAAATCACTCTCAGTAAATACATGTGCACATTTATTATACTTCTTTTATGACAAACCAAAATAATTTGTGAGTATCTTTTTAAAATTTCAGTTTTTCTAAATGTTTATTTATTTTGAGAGAGAGAGAGAGAGAGAGAGAGAGAGAGAGAGGGAGAGAAAGGAGAGTGTGAGCAGGGGAGGGGCAGAGAGAGAGGGAGACACAGAATCTGAAGCAGGCTCCAGGCTCTGAGCTGTCAGCACAGAGCCTGATGCGGGGCTCGAACTCATGGACTGCGAGATCATGACCTGAGCCAAAGTGGGATGCTTAACTGACTGAGCCACCCAGGTGCCCAAAATTTCAGTTTTTAATTTCTACCTAAAAGAAAATCGTTTTTGTAAATAATTATTTGACTTGGAAAAAAAAAAAAGTCTTTAGCAAAAAGCATGCAAGAGCAGGGAAGGCTTTATTCTTACCTGTTAAGCCCATGATGGGCTTTGAAGCTTGAATCTGGCCCTTTGTTGCCATTAAAAGGAAAGTTTGTTTCAATGGCACCAAACATTGCATCCTGAGTTCAGAATTAAATAGCTGTATCTACCTGTATGTGACGTTTAAAAGAAATCAGTACACCATTTGCCTAAGCCCCAGCTTTGGATAATTGAGGAACATACTCTGTAATTCTGCACTGTTTGGAAGGCATTGAGATAGACACATGCCAACCTGAGGGGCATTTTTTTGGCAATGACTTATTGAGATGCTAGAATCATTAGGTTTATGTTTTGTTTTTTTTTTTTTAATAGTAGAGGCGGGAGAAAAGGAGCGTGACACCAGGGCTAAATCTGGAACAGTCTGACTTCTGTGCCTTTCTCTAACTTGAAGCCAGAAGATGCCTTTTTGTCTTTAGAGCAGTGTTGAGTATGTCCAGAGTGAGCTGATTCTGGATTTTCAGACTGAGACACTGCCACCCCAGCTACTGCTTCACCGTTGTTTTAATTTTGCAGATTTTGCTACTCGTGCAGTTTGTTTTTTCTCTCCTTTATTTTCTAATCAGTGATTCATCACTTACATTTGACGCCCAGTGCTCATGCCAACAAGTGCCCTCCCTTCATGTCCATCACCCATTTAGCCCATCCCTTCACCCAACACCCCTCCAACAACCCTCAGTTTGTTCTCTGTATTTAAGAGTTTCTTATGGTTTGCCTTCCTCTCTGTTTTTATTTTATTTTTCCTTCTCTTCCCCTGTGGGCATCTGTTGAGTTTCTCAAATTCCACATATGAGTGAAATCATAGGATGCAGTTTGCTTTTTTTAAATTATCTCTTGTAATTTAGGTATGTGACCACCAAATAATATCAGACAAAGATCTAGTAGGCATCATTATTACAAATGGTCTACCCGGAACTTAATGTTTTTGATAAGTATGGGATAATTATTTCATAGACTTAATTATTTTGTTTAATATTTATCTGAGGAAAACTAACTTGAACACTGAATTTGAATCTGCAGTGTTGCTTTATAATTAACCCTAAATTTTCATATGGTTATAAATCCCTCCTGGGTTAGTTTTTTTTAATACTATTTAGACTTACTTCGTACCAAAGCTAGATGAATTAAACAGATTATTGATTGCATTTAACAACAATCTTTGATTTTTTTCCCTTATAGAAAACTGTGGAACATATACCAGAAACATGAGACCAGTATATCCAACAAAAACTTTTCCCAATCACTACAGCATTGTCACTGTAAGCTCCACATTTCAATTTTTATATGTTCACAGAAGTGAGATGTAAATGTTACATTTTTCGAGGGAATAGTAGACATCAGATCAGAAAAGAATAACTTTTTTCCAAAATGTAGTTAAGCAAGGAAACCTAGGTTTTGGTCTTTGCCTCTGCCACCAACTAGGTGTAGTTCGGGGAGGATCCCTTTCATTCTGGTCTCAATTTTTCCATCTTGAAAAGAGGTGACTGAAGACTCTAAGAACTGAGTTCTTGGTTTCCTTTCAGCTTTAAGATTCTCCAATTTTTGTGTCTTGTTTCTTCTTATGGTTTTGTAGCTTGCTTTGTTGGTACAAATCTGTCCTACACTCATGGATTCTCAACCTGTTCCAGTCATCTTGATGTATGAATTTAAGCAAGCCACTTTGCCTGACTCTAGATAGGATTACAGCCCTGTTTTTGTTTCAAAGTTTGCCAATTTAATTGGAGTCCAAGAGAAAAGTCAGATTCATTAGGTGTTAGGGTTCAAGCCAGAAAATGAATTCTTTAGCTTGTATTAATGCAAGCTCTTCTCAGACTGAACCAAAACATAGTTTGTTCTACAGAAATTCCTTACTCAGCAATGCAATGGGGAAATAGGGCACTTTTTTTAGAAATTGAGGAAGCTGCCTATTAATATAGGCCCTTATCCATAGCATTCCTACTTACTTTCTCCTGTTAAATAAAGTACAAATACTATATAAAATCTTGAATGGTTGGTTGTATTTTAAAAATCCCAAAGTTTTGTTCTTCCCTCCTTAACTCTGCCGAGTTCCCTGTAGCTTCAGTTACATGTTTCTCTTTGATGATTTTGTTTTGTGATTTTATTTAACATGAAAACAAAAAATACCTCACAACTTGCATAAAACCTGTTTTTATATTTTTTAGGGACTTTATCCAGAATCCCATGGCATAATTGACAATAAAATGTATGATCCCAAGATGAATGCTTACTTTGCACTTAAAAGTAAAGAGAAATTTAATCCTGAGTGGTACAAAGGAGAACCAGTGAGTTGTTTGTTTGTTTTGGCTACTAAGATTTTTTTTTTTTTAATTCTCTTCTATTTCAATCAGAGTAAACTACCAGATTCTCTGGAGCTTTTAATAACCTACTTCATTTATTGTGTCGTGGCCATCCTTTTGTAAATGGAGACAGATGCTGATCATCCTGAACACAGCTTGTATCATTGCGTAATGAGAGTAGTTTATTTCATAACTGGGTTTGGGTAATTCTGAACCATTTTTCTTTTCTGCTTCATTCCACCTTCTATACTCTAGGAGTGTATAGAAGTCGTTGGGGCAATCTTTTGATCCACATAACACTAATGGTTTCTGAAGGAGGTAAACTTTGACTTCATTTGCATTGGCTAACACAAAGATTCTTTCTGGCCATGACTTAGATGTGTTTCTTTGTATTTTTCAGAAATGTCCACAAAAATCCCATGGGGTCTTTTTAGATAGTCTTGATATTCTTCTTAGAAGGAAAAAGAGCATGATGGGTAATTTACAGGGTATAAATTCAAATTTTAGTGCTGACACTTAAAGCTATGTGACTTTGGGCAAATTATTCTTTCTCTGCCTCCATTTTCTCATGTTTATACTGTAGATAATACTGTTAACCTTACGGGGTTATTGTGAGGATTATCTAAATTAATAATTGGGATGCTTAGGGGGATGCTATTTAGAACTGAAATTGGCAATAAGTGCTTAATAAATGTTAGTTACATAACAAAAATGTCAGCAAATTAAGCACATGTATATTTGGGGGTTTTTTCTTCTTTCCAGGGGAAACCCCATTAAGTAGGGGTGTGGCTCTGAAAGTTGCAGAGATTTCTGAAAACGGACTGTCTATATTTTTTAGGTTAATTTAAGTTCTAATTATTTCATTTTGCTGCTGTTCAGAGTCATATTAAGTGATTATTTTATAGTCTCGCTGCTGGAGCTCATTAACCTCAAACATAGTCTAGCACTTGAGAGAAACACACTGATGTTACATGAGTGTATACTTTGCTAAGAAGTGAACAGTTGTGTAATTTTCTGACTTGCCTTCATTCTCTTCCCCAGATTTGGATCACTGCTAAATATCAAGGCCTGAAAAGTGGTACATTTTTCTGGCCAGGATCAGACGTGGAAATTAATGGAATTTTCCCAGACATCTATAAAATATATAATAGGTAGGTATAGATGCACTTTTTCAGAATTGCTCATTTATTTATTTTTTAATCTCAGCTTCTCCTTTTTATCAAGTTCTAAGTTCTAGCATTTGCATAGTGCGTTAGCTGAAAAATGAGAATGGCCAGAATAAGAACTCTTATCTCAGATAGCTTTTAGGTGGAGGGTAGGTGAGTTTTGAAGGGATGGATGGACAGTGAAACTAGACAAAGTTTTTTCTGGAGGTTTTCTAGAAAGTGCTGGTTACATGTTACAGTTTGCATTCAGATCTTTGGGCAGGAATAAAAAATGAAGTCATAGTGACTGACTCCAACTTTTTAAGAGTCACGAGCAAATGAGTTCTCCATCAGGTACCTTTTGTGAAATGTATGGTGGACGCATGGGTTATTCACGTGGTAGCAATTGCTATTCTCAGATACAGGCATAATATCATCAGGTAGATGTCAGAAGCACATTTTTAAACCTAGTTGTAGCTTTCATTGGGATGTTTATGGGGACACCATTTAGAACTGTAATTGGCAATAAATGCTTAATAAATATTAGTTACATAACAAAAATGTCAGCAAATTAAACACTTGCCTTCATTCTCTTCCCCAGATCGAAGCTTCCCCAATGTGAACCTTAACTTTTGGTCCTTTATTGGGAAAACAAGTTAGAGTTTTCAAATAAAACTTTTACATTGTTTCAAACACAATTAATGCATGTAATTGCTTTAGTCTTTCAGTGTGCTTGTCAATAAGAAACACACTGATATTTTAAACTCAAACAATGTCACAGACTATTTAATTTTGTTTATCCTTAATTTTAGTTCAGTACCATTTGAAGAAAGGATTTTAGCTGTTCTTAAGTGGTTGCAGCTTCCTAAAGATGAAAGGTATGTAGATGACTAATTTGTATGGTAACTACTCCTTTGTTTTATAGATATCACAGAATATTTAAAAATAAGCAGCAAGAAAACTTTGCAGTTGGCTCTGGCATTTTATATCCAAATAAACTCTTTAGGGAGCTCTTATGGCTACCATTTTGAAGAACTCCAAATCTGCAAATTATTTCTCAGAAAGATTAGAAATGTTACCCCAGTGTTGTAGACTTTTTAATCACTATCAATTGTTAAATTATTCTTTCCATTCTGTTTTACAATGTGTTTATAAAATATTACATTTTGATGCTGTTTGATTTAGACCACACTTTTACACTCTGTATTTAGAAGAACCAGATTCTTCAGGTCATTCATATGGACCAGTCAGCAGTGAGGTAAGTACCTTTTTATCAGTGATTACTTCATGAAACCTGGTGTCATGTAACTAAACCTGCTTTGAAGCAGGTTTCTAGACCATTCTAGCAAGATTCCATGATTCTGGGAAGAGTAGTAAGCACAATTTTAACTAAACCAAAGGATGCACTCTAGTAAAAATAACAGTAGTCTTGTCTATACTTTCCACAGTGCTCAGTTGAACTGATGGTAAATTAAATTCCATATTCTCATTTCCAAAGTCTTTATCCACTACATTTATCCCTACATTGGCTTAAAAACTAAGGGTCTTTGGAAGTTTTGTAAATGGGTAAGACTCCAATTTTCTTTTTTTTCTTTCTTTCTTTCTTTTTTTTTAAATCTTGACTTATTTTATTCTGTGTTTGAGAAACAAGAGTGTGGATAGCAAAGGTTCAGGTAGCCAGGGTTCTGGCCTGTCCATAGACTGGTTTCTTTTTTTTTTTTTTTTTTTAGTTCTTGTTTTGATGTTTATTTGTTTATTTATTTATTTATTTTTTTGAGAGAGAGAGGCAGAGTACGAACAAGGGAGGGGGGCAGAGAGAGGGAGACACTGAATCCGAAGCAGGCTCCACGCTCTGAGCCGTCAGCACAGAGCCCAACGTGGGGCTTGAACTCACGAACTGTGAGATCATGACCTGAGCCGAAGTTGGACGCTTAACTGACTGAGCCACCCAGGCACCCCTAAGTTTTGTTTTTTTTCTTCTTAATTCAAGTTAGTTAACATACAGTGTAGTCTTGGCTTCAGAGGTAGAACCCAGTGATTCCTCTCTTACATATGGCATCCAGTGCTCAATTTTCTATGTAAATAGAGGAGAATTAGTCAAATAACACAAGAAGCCTACTATGATCTCTCCACCTTAGGAGATCTAGCTCTGACCTCTGAGATCATGCTTACAACAGAGCTTGGGCATTAAAGAATAGGAGATTTTGTCAACACTATAGAAAATTTCAAATAACCATGGTTTTATTGAACAGTTACTAGGAAGTTAGAGATGGGGAAATGGCTCATGTACTAAGGCTGTCAACATGAGATCTTACTTGACCTGACACCCTTTTAGGAACTTAGCCCAACCCTGGCTAGGTTTGTAATCGGTATAGTGCTTTGAAAGATCAAATACTGCTTTCAGTTTTTGTGCGGCCATAGAATTTTTATATCTTGGAGCAGAGGAAGCATTGGAACAGAAAACGATTTGAGCTTCTTTCCTTGTACTTCTAAGCTGACTTCCCTTATGCCGTATATTTTATCTGTGACCCAAGATCTGAAAAGAAACAGGGAGTAAGGATCTAGGAATATTGGTGGTCATGGTGAAAGGAAGAAGAGGTATAGCCAGGGTCCCTAATCTCAGAATCCTTGTTATCTCTTCCCCCATATGACTGTAAGAGATAAAAGACTAGGAATAGCTAGAATTTCACCCTAGTCTGCGTAGTTTGTGAGCCTTAAAGTCTCTTTAGCACAGAGTCCAGACCAGAGCCTATCCTAACATGTCTATTAGCTCCTAACATCTCCAGTAGCTCTAATGTAGTTAGTAATTCCGTGTGCCCTTGCTTTGCTCTTTAGAGGTGGGGTAAGGAAGACACATGGTCAATAAGGTGACTGGGTCATAATTGGTGACAGGGAAAAGTTTTGTGTCAGTGTTATCTTGGTTTGACAATTGACCAGATGCTAGTGTAATTTTTATTCTTTCACTAAATTCACTGACACAACTCATGTCTAGGTCAGTCTGGCTACAAGGAAGTCTGAGGATCATTTTGTAATTGTTTGGTTATCAGCTCATATAAGTTATGAAATCGGTGCTGCCTTTTCTAATTTCACTGAAGATTTTCCAAAGGACTATTTTTGTGATTCATCTTCATTCAAGATTGAGCCCCTTGCTTTTTGTATCATAGTCACCAGCTTGTAAATTCTGTTAAATTCTAATATTACTGGCACATCAAAACCCACTTGATTTTAATACTTAAAAACTCCAACTTGCATTACTTGGGTGGCTTTGAATGAAAGATCATATTGAAGGAGGTTGTTTCATTATTATAGTGGAATAAATTGACTGTAGAGATAAGACTGATTTGATACATTACAGAAAGCACATGTAGAGCTGCAAAGAATTTTCCTGGTTTTGCAAGGAGAGCTGAAAAGAGAAATGTCAAAAGCAAGTTACTAAAACTATTTGCTAGTCTGTCCTCGTGATAGATGTGTGCAAAATACATGCAGTTTGCAAGGAAATAATGGGTTCCTAGGAGTTCTAATTTAAAACATTTTTGTCAATGTTTATTTATTTTTGAGAGAGAGAGAGAGACACACACACAGAGTGTGAGTGGGGATGGGTGAGACACAGAATTGGAAGCAGGCTCCAAGCTCTGAGCTGTCAACACAGAGCCCAATATGGGGCTCGAACCTATGAACTGTGAGATCATGACCTGAGCCAAAGTTGGAGGCTTAACTGACTGAGCCACCCAGGCACACCCTAGGAGTTCTAGTTTTAAAAATCAAACATAATGAACTATAAAGCATTTCATGAGTAATTTTAACATTTTTGGCAATTTAGACGATCAGGTCGGCTAGTGACATTTCCAGTACTTAGGATTGAGCATGTACGGGATTTGGGCCCTTCTTTTTATTAATGGGCATTGTCTTACCTGGCTTGTCTTAGCCTAATGCAAATCATATGTAGTTCATCATAGTAGCTGCATCCACTGAACTTTTCCTTTATGAACAGAGATAGCTTTACATAGAAATAGCCGTTAATATGGAATCCATCACATGACATTGCTTCCCTTTCTTAGGTCATCAGAGCTTTGCAGAGGGTTGACAACATGGTTGGCATGCTGATGGACGGTCTAAAGGAGCTGAACTTGCATCAGTGCCTGAACCTCATCCTTCTTTCAGATCATGGTAACCTGAATTTTCATCATTTACCCTTCAGGTTAAATGATGCCCCAAAAAAGGGTTCCTTGACTGGTTATTGTTTCATTATTTATTTTGATTGTTACAGTTAATACTTTGTTGTTTTTTTTTTAATGTAGTTTGTTGTGGAAAATGTTTAGGAAAAAATTATATAAAATATAAAGTACAAGTAAAGCACAGAATTCACAGCTATCAATGATAATGCACCCATTTCCTGATTTGAGGAAGGTTTGTACCAGGAATTTTGAAAAATTAAAAAAAGTTTTTTATTGTTTAATTTTGGTAAATGTAGTGTAATAATTTTAGATTTAATGAATACATTATTATGTACATCTTCTATTTAGCATAAAAATCTGATTTTAGAAGCAGTATGTATTAATTTTAGCACTATTTTAATTTCACTTTTTACTTATTTTGACCTTTAGAACATGTTTGTGTAACAGCCTTGAGAGTGCAGAAGCAATGAATGTACAAGAAAATAGAAAACACACCCTTTTCGTTTGTTTTTTTTTCTTGTTGTTATTGTTTGTGTCAGAAATAATTGCTAAAAGCTATTTCTAGAAATAGCTATAAGAAGTTTTGTTCCAAAGAAAATGCAGTTCTGGAATGAGACTGAGAATTTTATAATACCAGTTACTATTCTAGGTGATCTTATGAAAACAACTAAGCTTTGCTATTTGGTCTGAAGCTGTGATATTCCTCCTCACCTACCTAAATTAGAAGAAACAATAAAGTAATTGTGGATGAAGGGGAACAGATTTTTTTTTAAGTGAAATGGTGGATACAGCTGAAGTTCTGTGTCTTACCTACTAGATGTTTAACTCACATGAGCACTGAGCACATATTTGTTGAATTAAATTCTGGAAGTGAAGGAAATTCTCTTCCATGTGTGAAATTCTTTATTGAAGTTGTAACATGTTTGGGAATTTTTTCTCCTAGGCATGGAACAAGGCAGTTGCAAGAAATATGTGTATCTGAATAAGTATTTGGGAGATGTTAAAAATATTAAAATTGTATATGGACCTGCCGCTCGCTTGAGACCCTCTGATGTCCCGGATAAGTACTTTTCATGTAAGTATATATGGACGCTAACTTTGAATGTGATTACATTCTGAATACATTCCTCTAAATTATTGTATCTCCACACTAAAGTGCATCAAGTTAATTTCCTTTGCATGATTAAATCTCCAATGCAGGTCTTCTGCACCCAAAGGGATTTTATTCAAGACATAGATCTAACCACTTATTTTTGTTTTTCGTTGCTAAGCATATTATGTGTGTGTGCTCAGTACATTTTTATGTCGTAGTGTGTGTTTTACTTGTATTGGGTTCGAGATTACTTGTACTAAAAATAAAAACAAAAACAAAAAACAAAACAAAACTTAAAAGAAAAGTTCATCTGCATTTATTCAAGTTTCATTAATGACATTCCATTAAAATAACTTAGAGCTGTTATAAAATAATATTCTGTCACAAGGAGGAATGCAGGAAATTCTGTAATTCTTATAATTCCATAAACAGCTGGTTTCTGTCCTCAGAAATGACTTTCTTTTACCATTCTAAAACACAGTGAGAATGTGTTTCGTAAACAGAGAAGAAGAAATTTCAATTCTGTGTTGACCACATGTGCAACCCAAATTGCCAAGGAAATTTTTTAAATGTTAATTCTTTTGCAAGTCAAGTGCATTTCCTAACTGTTTGCACCTCTGTTATAGCCTGCTTAAAAGTCGTATACAATTGTTATAAAACCTGTTATAAAACCATATAGGCGGAGGCAGTGCCCAGAGATGTTTAGTATGGGATGCCTAAGCTTTAACTTTCTCTCATTAGGCCTCTGTTTCCCAAATTAAGGCAAAAATATCTATATTTATTTATCAATATACATACATGAAATATATATACAAAACATTTATTGTATCTGAAATTTTTTTTCAAACTTGTATAAAGTATGGCTAGAAGAATCTTTGGAAATCTAGACATATATTGATTTGTAGCACAGAAGATGCTACGTAAATCTGTGTGGTCTTGCTATGCAAATTCAGTTACAAAACTATCTACTTGCTCTCTCTTCTACGTTCTCCAGTGTCCTTTTTATTTGGAAATTCTGGAGTTACCAAATATCAAAATATATAAAATAAAAAGTAACGGTTTCCTTAAATCTCCCTAATTCACACCTCATTTCCTCTCTCTAGAGATTAAACACTGTTAGGCTTGGAATGTCTTCCCAGATATCTGCTATGCGTATATAAAACACTATTTTTTTTTTAATTTTTACACATGAAATCATACTAGATCTAGATGCATGGTCATATTTATGGATGGCCAGGTGAATGGACACACATATGGATGAACAGATGGATGGATAGATAGATATTCTTTAACTTGTCTCTTCATTTAACAGTACGACATGATTTCACAGGCATGGGGTGGTTCCTAAAGATCTGTCTCATTCCTACCAACCACTAATATATAATGGTTTAAATAAGCTGTTTGGAACCTGCTTTGATATTTAGATACAGAGTTTGAGTCTGACATTCAACATTTTTGTTTTATTTTTATTTCTAATTGTAGCATAACATCCATGATTAATTCTTATCTTTGTCCCCCTTCAGTTGATTATGAAGACCTTGCCAGAAATCTTTCCGTGAGTGTATTTATTTTTCCATTATTTACTTATTGTTAGTTTTAATATATATTTAGAAAAAAAGTTCAGTATCTGTTCTTGGGATTTTTTAGCATTAGAATTTTTGAGTATGTGGGCCAACATTTAAACGCCCTATAGTTTTTAAAGATTTTTAAGGACACACCCCAATAAACCAGCATTGAAAGTTTTTAAGAATTCATTTATTGTCATCAATTAATTTTTATAACAGTAAACAAATAATTGGAAAAAATAGAAGGGAAAAAGTCTATAGCTGTCTCAGCATAGGTACTGTTGGCATTGTTATATATTTCCTGCCAATCCTTTTATGCCCATTTAAAAAATAAATTCTTGACTTGGTGATGAGTTATCTATAGTACACTTTTTTTACTTGATATGTTTTATTTATTTATTTATTAAAGTTTATTTATTTGTTTTGAGAGAGAGAGAGCACACAAGCAGTGGAGGGACAGAGAGAGGGAGAGAGAGAATCCCAAGTAGTCTCTGCACAGTGTGAATGGGGCTCCAGCTCACAAAACTGTGAGATCCTGATCTGAGCTGAAACGAAGAGTCAGACACTTAACCGACTGAGCCACTCAGGGGTCCCGAAGTGTTTTAAATATTGAAGAAAATGATTACCATTGCAGTTATAAGAATGTTTGGAAATGGCATTATCGATAGTAACCCAAATATTAATGAATGGCATAGTCTAAGAATTTTAGTTTTTTTTTTTTATGTAGCAATTATGATTTCCTGTAAAAAATACGAATATTGAATCGTTGGGAATAGAGGGACTCCGTTATTTTTGCACCTGTGACTTACTGAGCAGACTGGTAAAATTTTTGACAGAAAAAAAATCTTACGGAATTAGAATACAGTCTCAAGAGAAGTTTACACCAAGAAAATATCAAAATAAGATTTTTTCTTTACCTTCTGTAATATCAGTGCCGGAAGCCAAACCAGCACTTCAAACCTTACCTCAAGCATTTCTTACCGAAGCGTTTGCACTTTGCCAAAAACGACAGGATTGAGCCCTTGACATTCTATTTGGATCCTCAGTGGCAACTTGCATTGTAAGTTCTGATGGTTTCCAGGTAAACCTCACCTGATATGTTAGTCATTCAGTGTAACCATTGGGCCCTTTTGAACAGTGTTGTTGTATGAAAACTGTGCACAGATGATTCTCTTCACTCTGTCCTGGGGCTTCTCAACCCAGGATTGACCTTTTGGGGTCAGACCATTCTTTGTTGTGGAGGGCTGTCCTGTGCACTGTGGGATGTTTGAAAGCATCCCTGGCTTCTACCCACTAGATGAAAAAGCACCCTTTCCATAGTTGAGCCAACCAAAAATGTCTGCAGACATTGCTATAGGGTTCCCTGGGGAGGGCCATCCACCCCCAGCTGGGAGCCACTCCTCTGCCCACATCCATATTGATTATTTATGTTCCATGTTGGTGTTACCACTTGCCGCTCTTATCTCTTCTGCACATTACAGTTATCCTAATAATACCTTCAGATCCAGCAAATAATTGGTAAAACCTCTTTATGATAATGAGCAATTGCTTTCTTCATTTTACAAAGTTGTTTTTTCAGCTCAGTTTATTGATGTGTTGGAGAATTATTTGGATGGTTAATATTGTTAATATCTCAAAACCTGATAATTAACTCTTTGGATGGTTGCCGGGAAGCCAGGGACAATAAATACCCCTGTCAAACAAAACCTAAGCAATGAACCAGGATTCACTTTAAGAGTTTCACTGTCTCTACTTTTACTAGAGGGCTGTGCTTTTCGTGTTTGGAAGAAAAACATTGAAAGAAGGGATGGTCCTTGCCTTCATGGGAGAACCAATATTTTATGAACATCTATATTCCAAAGATTGCTTTAGGCTAAGCCATTTAATTTGTACAGACAACCCAATACAACAAGATTGAAATGAAGATAAGATAACTACATGGCCAGTGTCACAGCTAGCAAATAGCATAGTCAGGGTTCAAAACTAGTTTTGTGTCAGTGCTAGTGGCTTTTTTCCTCTATGCCATCCTGCATTTATGGTTGATTTGTCTGCAAAATAAAAGATAAGGGTGGCCTCTTACTGCTTTGCAAAGCCAGGTGGTTTTGTTTACCATTTTTTGGTTTGTTTAACAAAATAGTTACTTATTCTTGATTAACAGAAATAATGTGACTTTAAATTTTGCACTATGAATAGACTTCACATCATTAATTCATACTATGTCAAAATTAGGAATCCTGCAGAAAGGAAGCATTGTGGAATTGGATTCCATGGTTCTGACAATATATTTTCAAATATGCAAGTAAGTAAATCTGATATACTTAAAAAAATAGTAGTTTGTATCTGAAGAAAAATAATATACAAAATTTAGATTTATTTATTTATTTATTTAAATATGAAATTCATTGTTACATTGGTTTCCATACAACACGCAGTGCTCTGTTGAAGAGGACGACCTTCCCCGATAGAGGAGGACCGTTCTTTGGTCAAGGGTATACGAGTAGCTGCGCTCCCCTGCTAGAACCTCCAAACAAGCTCTCAAAGTTTAGATTTAGAAACACGGATTATGCTTACATATCTTGGATGAGAATTAATGAAGCATATGATTGCATATAGTCATTTTATTTTGAGCATGGTATTAATAGAATTTGTTAAAATATTCATGTTTCAGGCATGTATGACGTATTATATGACTTATACCTCATACTAAATTTCTAATAATCATTTTGCATATGTTTGTGTTCCATTAAGAGTATTGCTTTCACAGTAAATGAAAGCTGGTGATTTAAGAGGAGAAAAGATATCATACCTGTTTAATGCCTTACATTCATCTAGCAATTTAAAAGTTCAAAATATACGCACAACAGTTATTTAATTTGATCCCTACAGCACTGTGTAGGGTGGGCAGAGTGACATTTATATCCTATTTCACAGATGAGAAACAATTTCATCATCTGTTCTCTTCTGACTGTCAAGTCAGGAATCACAGTAAAGCTGAGAGAAGTATCCTACATGTCCTTAGATTACATGTGCAACAGGGGTTAACACCATATCCTATGAAGCCTGTGGGCACGGTATTTTTCTGATATCTTAACATAACCAGTTTATATATGTACAATATGGATAATATCAAATAATTTTTTTCACCAGCTGCATACATAGCTGATATGAACTGATAAACTGTTAACTTTTCTGGCCAATCTAGGCTCTCTTTATCGGCTATGGACCTGGCTTCAAGCACAGCATCGAAGTTGACTCTTTTGAAAGTATTGAAGTCTATAATTTAATGTGTGGTAAGTGTGAACAGGCTTCTTTCATTTCTTCTGAAAACGGAGCTGGAATAGGATTATGAAAAGTAAGTCACACGGTGGGCATCTCTGTATAGATGATGATGATGTGAGACAGATCACATTTTTACCTTTCACCTTCCTGACCCAGAGTCATTGAAAAAAATATGTGGATCATTGCCATCTGATTACTGGTGTCTCTTCCACGGGTTTGCACACAGGTAAACTGCAACACCCAGAGCTGTGAGGTCTGTACATCCCCAATGCCTAGCAGTTTGCCAGGCATTCGGCTTAATGATACGACGATTGACTTAGGCGTCAGGTGGAAGCCCGGGAAAGAGTTTGGAGTCTGTGAAGGGAACACAAAAGAGGCAGAACCTCTGGTAGCAATAATAGTTCAATGGGTGACAATTGTAGAAATGGAGGAGGACCCATTAGATATTGTAGACAATTGTAGAAATGGAGGAGGACCCATTATTGACTTACTCTGTACTTTCTTAATACCTTTATGGTTGGATATTATGTTTTAAGTATTACTTCCTTTTTCTGATAATGATGCTAGACATTTGCAAAACCTTAAATATGTCCTGAGTATGATTCTTTCAGTGGGGGCCTATATACTCAAATGAATTAATATATCGTAAAGCACTTAAAACAGTGCCAGGCATATCCTAAGTGCTTTACTGTTTAAGTGTTTGCTATTGTTATTATCAAGAGCATGAGTTTTATTTTATTTTATTTAAAAAAAAAATTTTAATGTTTATTTATTTTTGAGACAGAGAGAGACAGAGCATGAACGGGGGAGGGGCAGAGAGAGAGGGAGACACAGAATCGGAAGCAGGCTCCAGGCTCTGAGCCATCAGCCCAGAGCCCGACGCGGGGCTCGAACTCACGGACTGTGAGATTGTGACCTGAGCTGAAGTCGGACGCTCACGGACCGACTGAGCCACCCAGGTGCCCCAAGAGCAGGAGTTTTAGACTCAGACAAAGCTGGTTTTGAAGCGTAGGTCTTACTACATTAGTAGCTTTGAGGCCTTGAGCAAAGCACTGGGATTATTCATCTACCAAATGTTGACAATAACTTATTAAATTGTTTTGAGGATTAATTAAGAAAAATATATTGGCACAGTGATTGACATTAGTATGCAATGGTGGTAACTATAGTTATTATACACTTTAAACTTCAGAAGTTTCATTAGAGACGTACAGCAGAATATCAGTAATTCCATTAAGAATAGCATAGTCATGTGCTTGCTTCGGCAGCATATATACTAAAAAAAAACAATAGCATAGTCCTAAATGCTCTCAAATTCAAGAGAGTTTTATAGTTTTATTTTAGGTAGAGAGTAAAGAAGTCTTACATACATTTAGTTCTAAAAAGATAAAAATAGTGTAAGTCTACCATTTATTTGATTTTGAAACCTCGAGGTAACCATTTACCATTCTTGGCATTATGCAGATTTACTGAATTTGTCACCTGCTCCTAATAATGGAACTCACGGAAGTCTTAACCACCTTCTAAAGAATCCTGTTTACACCCCAACGCATCCCAAAGAAGCCCACCCCCTGGCACAGTGCCCCTTCACGAGAACGCCCAGACATAACCTTGACTGTTCATGTGATCCCTCCGTAAGTATTGACAAAAAGTGTAGCCCAGTTTGTGTGATTTTACAGCACCCTCTGCATAGCATGTGCTATAGAAACACTTCATGATCAAATTAAAATGTATAAGTGAGCATAAATATATATTTATGTTTAATTCCAAGTAAGCACGCACGTGCAGCCCTTTTATTATTTATTTTTCCTCTTCCTGGTTTTTGCATTTTCACATACTTTTTAATTTTTATTTATTTATTTTTGAGAGAGAGAGAAAGTGCAGGCGGGGGAGGGCAGAGAGGAAGGGAGACGGAGAATCCGAAGCAGGCTCCACACTGTCAATGCACAGCCTGTCATAGGGCTCAAACCCATGAACCGTGAGATGTGACCTGAGCTGAAGTCGGATGCTTAACTTTGCCCAGGCAGCCCTCACTTCTGTTTTTATCCCTTGGTGCTGTGACTTGACTTGGGTTCAGGTTGGGAGAAGTCCAGCTAAGTTCTGGAGCATCCTGAATCATGGAATCTGTGCTACTGTCCTAGCAGTGAGGTCTTGATTATAAACCAGTCACAGTATTCTTTTCCTAAAATATATCTCAGTTTATTTTAAAGTTATTTTTTAATGTGTATTTATTTTGAGAGAGAGAGAGTGAACTGGGGAAGGGAAAGAGAGAGTCCCAAGCAGGCCCTGCACTGACAATGCAGGGCTCAATCTAGGAACCTATGAGATTATGACTTGAACCAAAATCAAGAGTGCAATGTTTGACTGAGCCACCCAGGCACCCCTCAGTTCATCTTAAATTTAGAGGCAAAACAACATTTTTTGGCAAGAAATGGATATATGGCACTTTACTTTTTAAGTTTATTTATTTTGAGAGAGACAGAAACAGTGCAAATGGGGGAGGCGCAGAGAGAGAGAAAGAATCCCAAGCAAGCTTCAAGTTGTTAATGCAGAGCCTGATGCAGGGCTCGGTCTCATGAACCATGAGATCATGACCTGAGCCAAAACCAAGAGTCAGACGCTTAATGGACTGAGCCACTCAGGCACCCCGGCACTGTTTTCTTTTTACTCCTATCTTAATATACAGTTTTAAGAAGATAAAAATTTGTGATAACAAGTGAACAAAATTGATAGTGTCCATGAAGATAGAGATTTGGGGAACAGTTGATTTTATGCCTTCCATTTTGTTTTAGGCTCGTAGAAAGACTGTCAGAGTAGGGATAAAAATTATAAAACAGCAATTCTTATTTTTCATTGATGGTGTTGTGCTTATGTAACAATTTTGTCTTCTTGCAGCTGTCATCCGAATTTTTATCTTCTTCATCAAAAAAAATAACTTTCACTTGTACAAGATGGTTTTATCATTGTCCCACGATGGAACAATGAGGCTGTAGAAATTGTTATAAAATTAAAACACATCTCAAAACAAAACAAAACAAAAAAAACCATGTCTCTCATCGCTTAAAATAGTATTATTAACTTTTAGGTTTTGCCAGTTGTGGATTTTGAGATACAGTTGAATTTGACTGTGGCAGAAGGTAAGGAAGGCATCCTTACTCTTGAGCTCGGAATGTGGAAACAGGCTTTTTCTCAACAGTGTCAACCACAGAGAACTGGTCTGGGGACATTAGCTGAGAATAGCCAGTAACATAAAGGTAGTAGGGGAGGACCACCTGATGAAACATGGCAATGTCCTTGCTCAACAGTCTAGACTGCTAGTCATAAGGAAGGAAGGGATAGTTACAGCACATCATGCATTTAGTGGAAGCTGAATAACTCTTTATGAACAGAGTTGAGGTGGTTTGAGATTTTGGAGATTTTTATAAGTTTATAAGAGACCCTCAGATTTCCATTGAAAATACTGTTAAATTTCTATCTCACCTGGTTCTTAGTTAATTATAGGAGAGTATAAGTTGATTGATTTATCTAAAGTTATTTCTTCATAAATTTTTTTTTTTTTTTTTTTTTTTTTTTTTTTTGAGAGAGAGTGTAAGCTGGGAGAGGCAGAGAAAGAGAATGAGAATCTTAATTAGGCTCCATGCTGGGCATAGACTTTGGGGCTCCATGCAGGGTTAGATCCCATGACCCTAAGATGGTGACCTGAGCCAAAATCAAGAGTCAGACGCCTAACTGACTAAGCCATCCCAGTGCCCCTCTTCATAACTTTTGAGTGAAAATTAAGCATATTTAATACACAGACAACTGAGAACATTTGTCAGCTGGGACTTGGATGCTCAGTGTCACTTTGATATGATCTCTGATACACTTTGATGTAGTCTCTGATCCTTAAGTTACTTGGCTCAGTTTTTTCCTTCTGGAATAAAAAGGTGAAGTCTACATTATTCCCAAATTGAATTTGCCTATATAAAATCTCTGTACATGTTTAGAGAAATCTTTGATGGCCCATGGTGACAAAGCATAGTGAAAGATGACACTTTTGGAATTGAGTAGATCTGTGTTTGAATATGAGCTTAGGAACTGTATGTCCATTGGAAAAGTATTTACTCCCTGTAAACTGCTGTATTCTCATCTGTACAATGGACATATAACCTTAATTCATAGGACTATTTAAGAATTCAATTAGACGATGTCTACAAAGGACTCTACAAAGCACTTGACGCTTGGAAAAAGCGCAGTAAACAGTATATATACTATCACTGTTTCATTCAGCTTTATCTCATAATTTCAGTTCTGAATTTTTGTTTTCTAAGCACATACATCATCCTCAAATTTTTCTTTCTGGAGATTTGCTCTAAAGAATAAGTCATTAAAGTAATGTTAAAGAATTTTAGTAATATTATTTAAGACCTATTTGCTGAAATTTCTAGCAATTTCACAGTGTCCCCTTGTGAGATCTTGATATTACACTGATCTCTCAGAATCTTCATAGGCAAAAACTGTGGTGAATCCCTTTTATTTTCTAAATAATTTATGGTTCTGCTCTTTGTAATTAGTTTGTGTTTTTTTTTTTTTTTGTAGTAAAAAATAATTTTTCAATAGGGTCTTAAGAAGAGGAAAGAATTAGATGAATGTTATTATATATTATCATATAGTTCACAGTAAGTTTGTTTGAACGGTGGTTTCATTTTTCCCCTATGACCCAAGAGAAGGTTATTAAGCGTGGCACTGTACCCTATGGAAGACCCAGAGTTCTCCAGAGGGACAGCACAGTTTGCCTTCTTTACCAGCACCGGTTTGTGAGTGCTTACAGCCATGACATCCTGATGCCCCTTTGGACATCCTACACTGTCAACAGAAATGCAAGTATTGGTCACCCCTCTAGCTACGTGTGATTATTTCATTAATTATCATTAAGCAGAACATTGAAAGCATGGTTAATTTGGGCCAAACTAATCTTGGCTTCATAATCGGTTCCTAAATTAGGAGATCACTGAATTGGGAGTTGCAGGAATTAAGTTCTGATTCTAGCTCTGTGACTTTGAGACTCTGAGCAAATTTCTTCTTCTGGGAAATGAGGAATGTGCATGAAAGTGTCTCCCTCGCCTTGTGTTTGTTTGTTTGTTTTCATGTTTTATGATTCTAACTTATGTAATCAGTTTTGCAGTCAGTCACAAGTATTCGTCTCTAAATGCATAGATGTATGAGTATAAGGACTTTTCTTGGCTGTACTCACCTTAGTGGGTCCTCACTGATGGGGAAGGCCATTAAAACTCAGTAATTTTTCAGTGTGTAACACCTATGGGAAGATCCTCAAATCAAACTACAGAGAGGCTGGGGATCCCGTCCACCTCCCAGACCACAGGAAGCCCTTGAAAGGAGTTGTGGGTAGGCGTGGTATGGAATATCCCAGAATAAGACCGCCATTCCCCCTCATCCCTGTCCCCTGGCTGCTGTAGTAGAAAGAGAAGCAGAAGATAGGCCTTGAAAGAGAGAAGGGGGGAGGGAATGAGATTTAGATTTTGATCAAATTAAAGTTTTAAACTAGTCTGACCAAATTTTCAAAGACTGAATGCCTGGCAAGCTACAGGAAGCCCTTAAGGGACAGAAAGGGGATTTGAGAGAGCTTAGTTGAGTCTAGCAGTTGGATTTAAAAAATAAAACTATAGTTAATACTCACTGAGAAAGGTAAATAAAAAAGGTAGGGATGTGTGCATGTATATATGTAATGTCTATGTTAAAAAATATGTATATATTACACACCCCCACATATTCTCATATTTACATAAAGTTTCAGCCATAAATTTGTTCTAATTTTGACGACTATCTTCAAACACTACAAACATGTTTTGTACTTGACTTTGTAATATATAGGAGTCTAGCCAGTATTGTGTGGGTCCCCATCAGATTTATTGTTTAATGCCTTAATTATGGTGTTCTTTGCTTTGGTTTGAATGTTCTGTTTTGTAATACAATCAAAGCAGCATAAATTCCGTCATCAGTGCTCCCGAGGTTTTCATGCTGCATTGTTAATTCAGTGGCTCCCCCAAGCACCAGCTTTCAAGTCTATGCAGTTGTCTTTGGAAGATAGGCTCAGGTCCCCCCAGCATATAGGCCCATATTGAACCCAGCATAATAGGCCAATATTTGCACATATGACAAATGACTAATATCCTTAATAGTATAAAGAGTTGTTGCCTTTCAGTTAGAAAAAAAGATGAATACACTGTTAGAAAAATGGGAAAATGGAGTAGGACCTAAAGGGACAAGTAGGGTGTTGTTCACAGACCTTGTAGGGTGTGGTTCACCCTCAACTCTTCATAAAGCAGTCTTCTTTTCTTTTATATGCCTGATACCTCATGGCTGTTTACGTTTTGTTTTTCAGGACAGTTTCTCTACAGAAGACTTTTCCAACTGTCTCCACCAGGATCTTCGAATTTCCCTCAATCCTGTCCATAAGTGTTCGTTTTATAAAAATAATGCTGAACTGAGTTACGGGTTCCTCTACCCACCACGTAAGTTTCTTCCTCCCTGACCTGCCCTTTCCCTGGTCTTCTTTCTCTCTTCCTTCTCCTTTTCTTTCTTTTGGGGCAATGGACACCATCTTTTTATTGTTGATCATCATGAATGAGAAGTATAACTCTTAGGGGAAAATTTCTAAAGCATCTAAAACTTGAATTTTACAAAACCTTTAGCTTTTGTTTGGAGGGTAGTTGATTTAGTGCAGACACTGTAGATAGGACATTCTTCATTTTTTCTACCTTTCTTTTACACAGAATTTGAGAAAACTTGAGTCAGAAGGATACAGCAGGGGTCTTAGGAGGGAGATATCATTTTGTTTGTTAAAAAGAAAAATAATTTGTCAAAAAATTAGGAATAGGCAGAGCCCAAGTGTGCTTGCCCTTTACGGGGACAGAGCCACTAGGGAAGATTTTTCTCTCCCTCTCTTTTTTTTTTTTTTTTTTTTTTTTTTTTTTTTTTTTTTTTTTTTTTTTTTGAGGTAAAGTGTTCTCTTTTTAATGTGGCAAATTTGTATGTTAATGAGAAGACATTTTGAGGCTGGCCTTAAAAGGCAAAAATCAGAAGTCTCCAGGTGCTTAAATACTTTCAATATCCAGTCCAGTCCCCAGAATAAGTGTCTGAAGTCAGAACTTGGCTATTGCTTTATGAAAATAGAGCAGATCCAAGCTGAAAATCCATACAAAGAAGCCTTGTACAGCATTTCGAGGCAGACGTCCTGTGATGTTTTTTTAGGGCAGTAGGTGTTGTTCTGAAGCCAGATATCCTCTTTTTTCCTTTCACTGTAAGAGAGTTGAAGGAAAGAAGATTGTCCACACAATACATCGTAGTTGAAATAAGGCAAATAAGGTAAAAATTGAACACGTTTATTTTGGGGCTCTTATTAAGCTTTTGTTTCTTTGCTAAATTCATCTTGAGGAAGAAAATACTTATTTTCCTTTTTTTTAAGGGACTTGACCAAGCACATTGCCCTTTCCCTTGACCCAGTACCTGGGAAACTTTTATGGGTTTAAGGTGATAGCTAATTTTTAAAAATGCTACTCCCATGAAAAAGTATAATGTCTAATGCTACTCATGAAGAATGAAATAGTTGTCTTTTTTATTTTTATTTTTTTGTAGAACTAAATAAAGGTTCAAGTCAACTATATTCTGAAGCATTGCTTAATACTAACATAGTGCCAATGTACCAGAGTTTTCAAGGTAAAAAATTTTAACCCTATATTTCATAATCTCAATGAATTTCTGTGTATTATAGGTATAATTTATATTAATAAGGTTGACCCTCTAAATTAAATGACTATCTGATACATTCTTATCGGTTTAACTTGGACAACACCAATACACAAAAATTCTCCAACTATTAAAATCATGATATATTCCAATACCATTTATTCTACTCTGTATTTAAATCTCTATAAATGACATTTTTTGGTGGAAAAAGTATGTAGTCTTCTTGGAAAGTTATCCAGTTAATATAATCTACAACATTTACATAAACTTTCAGTATGTTTCCTTATTTAACTTTTGGAAGTTCTTGATAATTGCTTTTGATCTTAAAATGTATGGATTTTACATCACTATTAATTATCGCAGCATTTGGCTCTTACAAGGATAAATATAAATTTATACTTCAAGTGGCATATAGGATTTCACAATATAGAGCATACAGGAGATTTTTACTCCAATTTACATGTAGAGTACTTGTGACTATTTCAAAGGGAATGTTCAGATATTAACAATAAATCTGAATAACCTGCCTCGTTTACTGATGTTCATGGTTTTTTATGCTTTGTGGTGGTCTGTGATCACAAATTCATGGTGATGCACATGATCAGTCATGTCCAAAATAGTCTTGAATTCAACATTTGTTTATTAGTTCTGCCAAAGGCCAAAGTCGAGCAATGGATTTTTGGCCTCACATTAACACTGAAGCCAAATTTGACTTTGTCTCTGATTACTACAGATGCTGATTTCAAATGAGGTTGTTGAGTTTTTGTAACACGACAGCATGGCACCTTATTCTTTTGAAACTGCACTGACTTCCTTCTTGTTTCAGTTATATGGCACTATTTTCATGGCACCCTACTGCACAGGTATGCAGAAGAAAGAAATGGTGTCAATGTTGTCAGTGGCCCTGTGTTTGACTCTGATTATGATGGATGCTATGATTCCTCAGAGACCCTGAAGCAGTAAGACATATTTCATTTCCTCTTAAAAACAGCTGTCAAGTGGGATTACCATCCAGTTGAGTCACCAGAGCCTTTTCTGTCTGATAGTATTCATACTGATGTACGTGACATTTCTGATTACACTGAGAGCCCCTTGAAATACCTGATTAATTTTGATGTTTTGCTCAGTGTTCAGTAAAATGTTTTTTGGAGGAAAGAAGGAGTGTTTCTCTCCCACGCAGCTTAGATAAGCAATTCTTGAGCTCAGATTAAGCACTGAACTCACTGTATGTTAAGAAGGTAACATCCATGTTTAAAATCCCTATGTGTGGCTGATTGTTAAAATACTGTCTTAATTAACATACTGCTGGCTAGAAGATGAACACGTGCTGTGGCTAGAGGCATCCTGAAAGAACCAACAGGGTTATAAATCTATAGTGTCCAAGCTTAGGCCTTGAGTGAATGTCACAGCTTTTACCCAACTTTGGTTAGAGGGAGATGGAGTGACCATCTTGAAAAAAAAAAAAAACCAACAGTGGTTTTTTATAAAGGAGAGGAGGAGAACATTTTATTTTTTTATTTTTTTTATTTTTTTTAATTCACATCCAAATTAGTTAGCATATGGTGCAACAATGATTTCAGGAGTAGATTCCTTAGCGCCCCGTAAGCATTTAGCCCATCCCCCCTCCCACAATCCCTCCAGGAACCCTCTGTTTATTCTGCATATTTAAGAGTCTCTTCTGTTTTGTCCCCCTCCCTGTTTTGATGTTATTTTTGTTTCCCTTCCCTTATGTTCATCTGTTTTGTCTCTTAAAGTCCTCATATGAGTGAAGTCATATGATTTTTGTCTTTCTCTGACTAATGTCACTTAGCATAATACCCTCCAGTTCCATCCACGTAGTTGCAAATGGCGAGATTTCATTCTTTTTGATTGCCGACTAATACTCTATTGTATGTCTATATATACCACATCTTCTTTATCCATTCATCCATCGATGGACATTTGGGCTCTTTCCATACTTTGGCTATTGTTGATAGTGCTGCTATAAACATGGGGTTGCATGTGTCCCTTCGAAACAGCACACCTGGATCCCTCCATTTGATCTTTCTTAAAAAAATAACATGAGTTTTGGAAGCAATTTTGCTATTAAGGCTCCAGGGTAAAGAAATTGAAACATCTGCTGAGATTCACCTCTTCCCTGAGCACCGTTCTTCCAGGCAGGCTCGGAAATTACTCTTCACACACATATATCTGTAGCACATTAGTTTGTAAAATGACAGGGGTTTTTTTTGTTTGTTTGTTTGTTTTAAACTATATCCCTTGAGGAATAAGGGTCCTAACATAACTGCCTCAGAGGTCACAGCAGTAGAATGGGTAAAGAAGGGAACTTTATACATTTTGGATTCTACCAGAGCTCTCTGTTTTAATCCATCTTCTATATTATGGCTCCACAGAAGATTAAAATTGAAAACAATGCTCCCACTACCTTAAATTTTGAAAGATGCTGAAAAACAAACAAACCTAGCTTTGAGCCCCAAGGCAATAGAATTACGATGAGGTAAAGATGTTACTTGGGACCTCTTGGAGAATATACTACAATTTAAAAGAAGTTATTGGGATGGGAAAGGAAATGCCTTTAAAACAAAGAAGAGTCACAGTTTACATCAAAATGTAAAAACATATGACTTCTCTGGAGGGGATGGAACAGAAAAAAATCCCAAACTAGTTTCCTCTCTGTCTACTATCTGTGCAGTTGCATAGGGTTGAAAATACTTATCAATAATGCTTTAGAATTTTGGCTGTAGGTATTCGAGAATGATACATATTTTTTTTCTTTAGCATCTCCATTCCAATGTGTTAAGGTAGAAGCAAAAAAAGAAATCCGAAGTTCAATAAATTCTTATAGAAAACAAAAAGTATTTAGTGTATGTTTATCTGAGTGTCTTCTAATTCATTGTCTCAATCTGGCAGGATATGTTGAGGTATCACAATGACTAACTTCATACTAACATTTAATTATTTGCATTGTATTTTTAGATGCTTTGCATTAAAATTATACTTTCCTGAAGTATTCATTAAGAAAAAGATAGTTATTTCTTTCTTAAAGTGAATATTGCCTTATCTTACAGAAACAGCAGACGCATCCGTAATCGAGAAATTCTGATCCCGACTCACTTCTTCATTGTGCTAACAAGTTGTAAAAACACATCCCAGACTCCCTCACAGTGTGGAGATTTAGACACCTTAGCTTTCATTTTGCCTCAGAGGACTGACAACAGTGAGAGCTGTGTGGTAAGTAGCCTTTGTTAGCTTACCTGATGCATTGAAAATACGGATATAAGTACATTGGTGTATTGTATCTAACATTACTCTGGGCAAAAACGGAACTTGAATATGCATGTACTTTGAAAGGATGCACTTCACATGAACTTTGCAGGACGGTTTTAAATCTGATACTCTGAGATGACCTATCTCTGGAGAAGACCACCCTTGTCTGTTAAAAACACAAACCAGGGGTGCCTGTGTGGCTCAGTCAGTTGAGCGTCTGACTTTGGCTCAGGTCATGATCTCATGGTTTGTGAGATCGAGCCCCACGTTGGGCTGTCTGTTAGCTCAGAGCCTGCTCGGGAACCTCTGCCCCCTCTGTCTTTGCCCTCCCCCCCCCCCCCCCCCCCCCCCCCCGCCCCATGCTCACGTGTGCATGTGCTGTGTGTCTCTCTCAAAAAAAAAAATTTTTTTTAAACACAATAAAACAGATCAAAATGTAAAAACATACGAATGCCTTCATATGGCATAGCCACTAAATTCTAGGTTTATTTGAGCTATGAATTTATTCTTGTTCCCAAACTGGATTTATAATTCCCAGAGTGTTAACATTGTTATAAATTAGTCTTAAAGTTATAGTTCTGTAGTATTTCAGATTAATTTTCTGTATACGACTTTATTATAAAATTCATGTTTGTCTTTAATTATCTTTTCTTATTCTATGGTCATTCAGCATTTAGAAATAATTGTTTTATGTTACCTTATTTGCTCAGAATTTAAAATACCTAAACTCGTCTTTGAACATCAAGACTCCATTAAAATTTTAGGAATTTTAAAGTTTTTCCTTATGGTAAGCCAAATTTTTTTTTTTTTTTCAGAGTACTTCCCAGATTTCCCAGTAGATTTTTTTTTTCACTTTTTTTTTTTTTTGTCCATTGAACTTACACACTCTAAGTTTAGATCTAAGTTGGCAACAAGATGTGGCTTTCTTACCAGCCTCATTTGAATGGGTGGTGGATATCTGGAGTCCTGTGGTCAAAAGGATGAGTCTGAGCTCAGCAGGAGAGAGTGCTATGATTGCTTATTCATTCCTCCCTTTATTTATTCATGTATCCCTTCTTGGATCCAGCCGTTCTTTTCTTTAATAACTACGTGTTGCCAGGGACTCTTAGTATAGAGAACACAGCAGTGAACAAAACAGATTGTGGTTTCTCCTGTGGGCCCAGGAGTGGAAAATAGGGATGTATTGCCCTCCTTGATCTAGGAGTCTGTGTATCATTCATTAAGAATTAATGAAGATATTTCACTCTTTAATTGTTTCTCTGATAAACTTTGAGATTGATCAGTTCTCATAGAAGATATTTCTCATTAAGTTATTTTTCCTTATTCTTCAGAATTAAGTACAGAAGAGCAGGATTTTACCTTTTTTACCTATGCCCAACAGGCATCTAAGTGTGCTAACTGTTCAATGTTCAACACTGTATGAGTATTCCCATGTTCATTGATTTCTTTTTTCCCAAGAGATTAAATGATCACTAAAGGTATCAGTTAGTGTTCTGCAGAAAATAAGAGGACCATGTACAGTGACTTGAGCAAGTCCTCGTGTAATGGGCCATCCAGAGGTAGACAGTCTTGGGTCAGCAGCACCATTAGGGACCCAGACCTTTCCTGTGTTCCTTTGCTGCTATTATTAGCATGTAGCATATGTGGGCTGAAGATGGTTTCTACTTCTCTAGATATCATGTCTGAATTCTGGGCCCTTTCCCCCCAAAAGACGGCAGCAACAGACTTAGGCTTACATTTCATGACCAAAATAATGTCAGGTGTCATGAGTTAGGCACCGAGTTCCTTTCCTATCTCTATCATTCCAAAAGCTCTTGTACAAATATTTTATCAAATTCTATAATAGCAATGTGCCTTGAAGACACTAACTATTGGACTTGAACCAGAGAGAGGATTATCTGAAGGTATATCACCCATATTTACTGATTCCTTCTGTTTCGTCTCTGAAGTAGTGACTAAGGATCAACAGGATATTGGCCTGAGAAAACAGATGTCTTACATGTACTTTGCATCTATTCCTGTGTATGTTGGGACAGATGAAAAATATCTACTGGCCAAGTAATGCACTGAGTCAGGGCTATTCTGATTGCTGCAGAGAAAAACTGAGTGGGGCAGCAATTAGTACTGGGTATAGTGATGATTGGAGGCTAATGGGAAAATGGACACTATTGATCCATTCCCTTTTTATGTGAAAAGTCTATATTTATCCTTTCCAACTAATAATGTCCCAAAGGTACAGGGATCTTTATTGAAGGATGTCTTTAAAGTACGATCATAGGGGCTCAGTCAGCTAAGTGTCTTAATCTTGATTTCCGTTCAGGTCATGATGTCATGGTTAACGAGTTCGAGCCCCACATCAGGCTCTGTGCTGACAGCACGGAGCTTGCTTGGGATCCTCCGTCTTCCCTGCTCCCTGCCTCTCCCTCACTCTCTGTCCCTCTCTCAAAAAATAAATAATGTTAAAAAAAAATAAAGTACAATTATAGACCACCAATCAGTGGATACTTTCTTCACCTGACCCTCTCCAGGAGCCAGATGCAGAAAAATGGTACTTATGCATGAATGTATGATTTCTATCTCTGTTACCTGCCTCAGCTACCACTTCTGCTTCCAATGTGCCAGAGCACATGCCTTTACTTCTTGTCTGATCTCATGTTAGCTGAGACTTCGCTACCAAACCAGATGAAATTGTGTTTCACCACTTCCCCCAACGCTCTCTTCATTGCAACTGTGTAGATAACGGATTCTGATAAGAGCTGGTGTTTTTATAGTGTGCACACATCATTACATTTGATCCTCAAAAACAACTTTATAAGGAGGGTGCAGGTAAGAGAATCAGGATTCAGATGTTAACCAACTTGCCTCAGTTTACGTGGTATGAAAATGATGGAACCAGGACTTGAACCCAACTTTCTTTCTACTAATTCCCACATTCTTTCGGCCATGCCACATTGCTTCTGTTTTCCAGCATTTTTTTTAACCTCACACTGATCTAGTCTCTTGCACCAATGCAATATATGAGCATCTATTCCAGGTGTACTTTCCTTTCCCCAGATTTGAGACATCTGATTAAACAAACGTGCATAGTATATGTTAGATAGTGAGCTACTCAAGAGCAGGGATTGTACCTAACAAATCTTGTGGCCTCTGCCACCTGGGAGCCAAAGTGCCATAGCTGATTGAAATGGGAAGACAAAGTGCTTGTAGAGAAAGTGAACGGACTGTTCTCCAGTGACTGTTTGTTTTACATTTCCCACCTTCATAGCATGGGAAGCAGGACTCCTCGTGGGTTGAAGAGTTACTGAAGTTACACAGAGCTCGGATCGCAGATGTCGAACACATCACTGGACTCAGCTTCTATCAAGAGAGAAAAGAGCCAATCTCAGACATTTTAAAGTTGAAAACACAGTTGCCAACTTTTAACGAAGAAGACTGATATTTTTTATTCCAAAAAACACATCATAAATGTTTTTGAAAGAACCTTCTATTTTATACAGCCCTCTGTTCACGCTGTCGCGTTGTTTGGAAACTGTCGACCAGAGTTAGAGCTGAGAATCCTCTGTGATACGACCGTCTCAGGGAACCCTGTGGCCTCGGCCTGGCAGTAGGAAAATGTTCTTCTTGAGTCTCGCACATGTTTGAATGTGTCAGAATCATTCCGATTTGGGAAATAAAGACAGACCATACCTAAAACTGCTCTTCTATATTCTCTTAAGGGCAGAAGTAGCTGTGAACGTTGTCTGGACACCAGACATTTGAATCTTCCTTTCGTTAATAAACTTCTGTGGAACTGGCAAACGGGGCGCTAATGGATAGGATTGGAATAATCCGTGTTACAGCATTAGTATTTTCGTAAGAATTTAAAAGTGATTCCGGATTCTTTTTAACTTGGAGTTTTATTCATCTGAGTTTTAACCAAAAAATTCAGTGGAAGTAAAAATATCTCTGAGGCCCTCTTTCTGTCTTTTCTGTATACCCTTTCAAAAGCCAAACTATGCAGTCCTGTGGGTTTTTGTTTTTAATTGTGATTTAAGCAATTTCAGATTTAATGTCTTTAGCAAGTTAAACTTTGAGGCAACATCTGTGAATTATCTAGCATATCTACCTGCTATAAAATTTTACCCTACATTTGCATTAAAAAAAGAAAGATATTCCCATCCTGCTCACTGGTAATTAACATAGGTTGAAAATAGCTCTAAAGGAGTTGTTTTAGACTGTTAAAAATGTCTTGATGAAACTTCAGAGAGCTTGTCAACACATGCAAGGTGACATTTTTCATCAAGGTGGCAGGAACATTTTCCTCTGTGCATAAAAATGACCCCACCAGTAGCAGAATCATGCTGAATTGTTCATTTTGAAGTTCCATAGATTTGAAGAGAATGTGTAGCCATTGCTTTATATCTTCTTGGTGGTCATGATAAATGAACTTGATCCACTATATAGACTATACCTGTTAGTCCCGGCCTGTGGACCTCCAAAGGTTACTTTCATTTTTGGCTACGTGGGTTTGATTTAGGTGTTACATTAGTACACCACAATTTTTATTTGTCGTTCATATGATGATCATTCTTCAACAGACTGTGGACCACAAAATCCTTTAGATAATACAATTTATATCTAAAAATTATTTAATAATTTGGAAGATGTCATTGGTTTTTGTATTAGTCCCATTGGCCTGCAGCGTTTGTACATTGTATTGTTTTGTTTATTTATTTTTTTTTTCTTCCAGTCTGTCTTCTCTCTGTTGTTCCGTTTGGGTCATTTCTATTGTTCTAAGTTCACTGATTATTTTCTCTCTCTAATCCATTTTGTTGTTGAGCCCATCCATTGATATTTGTATTTCAGTTACTGTTTTTGTTTTTGTTTCTAAAATTTCCATTTGGTTCTTCTTCATATCTTTTATTTCTTTGCTGAGAATTTGTATTTTTATTTTGGCTGAGACTTTGTATTTTCTCACTTATTCCATGCATATTCATAATATTCACTGAAGCATTTCTGTGATGGCTGCTGTAAAATTCTTTCAAATAATGCCAGCATCTGCATCATCTCAGAGGTTGGCATCTTTTGTCTTTTTTTCATTGAAAAAGATTTTTCTGGTTCTTGGCATGATGGGTGATTCTTGATGAAAACCTGAATATTTTAGGTATTATGTGGCTAGGGATCTTAGTTAAACCTTCTGTTTTAGCTGACTTTCTCTGGCATCAGCCTAGCGAGGGCATGGGGGCCTAGTGTGGGAATGAAGGACACTGTCTAGTTATTTCCAGGTGTGGCTACGAGTCCAGGTTTTCCATTCAGCTGCCATTAACACTAGGGGCGAGATGGGACCCTTGTCACTGCTGGGCAGGGTGGGAGTGCAGCTCCCCACTGGGTCACCATTGATGCCTCCCTGGCTGGGATGTGTAGGGTGTCTTGTCACTGCTCCCACGTCGTGTCCACTGACACTATTGGCAGGAAAGCTGGGAAGACTTTATTATGACCAGGTGGGGGTGAAATGACCAGTTCCCTGCTCAGCCTTCTCAGAAATCACCCTGTCAGGGGAGTGAGGGCACTTCATTACAGCCTGCCAAGAGTGGAAGTCTAGGCTCCCCGCATGGCCTTTGCTGGTGTGGGTGGGGCCGTGGCATTTTTCGTGGGGTTTGCTGGAGTGGTGCAATTACTGTTCTCTCTCTTGCTAGGCTACTTGTCTTCTAGTCCTTTGGCTAGAAAGCAGGACTTTCTTAGGACTTCTTTTTGGCTGCTCTGTTGGCATTTAAGGTTGGGAACTCTTCAGTTCCAAGTCTGGGACATTTGAGCTAAAAGAGCAAACTCAGGAGAACTTATCACAGTTTTGTTCCTTGGGTTCCAAGATCCCTAGCCTGCCTGCCTTGTCTCCACCTTTCAGAATCTTCCTATTTTCGTTTTATGTATATCTAAGCTTTTTATCTGCACTTAGCAGAAGGATATATACTTCTTTGTAGAAGTGTCTCATTGATTTTTATATATTCTTCAAAATACATGCAGACACATGATTGCCTCTATGTAAAGCATTCTAGCACATCTTAATTAAATGGGTAGGTGTCTCTTGCCTTTGCCAGTCACCAGGAATATGAAGAATGACAAGTTATAATCCTTACAGTTTGGGGGAGGGAGAGAAGGCAGCAGAAGGGTATGTGATTCCTAAGGGGGGGCGGTAGATTTTTTAATGGAGCCACGGGCAGGGTGCTAGGGAGGACAAAGAACACACTGGGTGGGACTTGACAGGTCTCAGCGGTAACTTCCTAGATGTGGTGGCATTGGGCTAGAACTTGAAGATGAATTGGAGCTCTTCAGGTGAACAGGCAAGGAAAGGACATTCTAACATCCCTTGGATAGATGTGTTTTTGGCATTTTCCCATTTACCACTACTTTTGATATTTTCTACAGGTGTTGCTATGACCAACTTATGATTTACAACTTTTATTTTTCCTACACTGTTGTTATAATCTCCTGTTCTTAAAAGTCAGACTGTAAGTGAATGCTATGCTGACTCTTTAAAGGGCATCCACATCTGTTCCTATTAGTTTTTTTTTTCAGTTGCTCTTATGCAGTATTCTTATTCTTATCTTGAAAGAGATCTCTCCTCTTACTATTTCATCAGTTGAAAACATGTGAGTGGCCTACTTCCCCAGTTTGAATGGTAAATTCACATGACTATATTTGAAAATGTCTGTACCCTACTGTGTACAATAAAGGCTATTCTTGGCTTTTCATATGCAAAGCAAAACCTTTACTTATCCCTAACTTTATTGCCCTGCCTCTGATCAGTACTTCCTTAATGAGGTAAATAACTTCCATATAAGATTTCATAGCTAAGTCAGCTCATTCATGGCAGAGCAAACAACCAGGTGGAACTTAAAAATATTTCCAAGTTTCAGAGAAAAGAAGGCAAACCTTAGGGGGAAGAAGGCAAATGTTCAGGTCCCAGGAGGGCAGGTCAACGTTAGGCTAGTTGGTCTAGTCCTGTTTTAGACCAGATTGGAGCTAAGACCACCTACTTCCCCAGGAGAGGCTGTTACCCCCTGACCTTGACTTTTTTCTGTCGTTAGCTACAGTAGCTGTACTGCCTTGACCTGTGGGTATATGCTTATCTATAATAGGAACAGGCATTTGAACTTTGAAACTAAATGTGGTGATTACACTTCATGCTGAAACCTATCACAGGAATTTGGTGTGTGGGTGCTTTCGTAAGCATTAAGTAAAATTTTAACATGGCTACAGTCCAAGGATGTTTTCCTTGTTTTTTGGCAGTCTCAATATTATCAGGGAGAGGGAAAAATCTATAGAATATAAGTCTCTAAACTAAGAAATGTGGATTTACCAATAAAAGTTGTATATACAGAAGCTTGGCTGCTTATGTCTGTGTGTATGTGTGTGTGTGTGTGTGTGTGTGTGTGTGTGTGTGTTTGGAGGGTGGGGGCAGGGAATGGGTGGTGGTGTTTTCCCAGGGATGATACTGAGTACAGGGGTTGTAGACAATTAACCACAGCTGTATTACTGGAAGGAGAAAAAAGTTCCAAAGTTCATTTCAAATTCACAGAGTAAACATCAGCTTCTGACCTATATTCTTGTTTTTGTATTTTAATTATTTGCAATCATACTTCCAGGTGAAAACAAGACAGGCATGTATAAATTTCTTTCCAGTATATAGAATTGTCTGAAACCAGAGGGAAAGCATCCAAATTGTAACTTCTATAGATTTTTTTCGACATGAAATTTTTGTACTTATCCTTTCCATTCTACATAAATAACAATTGAAGGAAAAATAAAGATTTTACTAGAAATTATAGCCATGGAAGAAACTAGAGATACGTAAAATGTGTTTTAGTCTTCTATAAATGAAAGAAACTCTGGAAAAGGATTTATCTTCATAAGAAGTCAAAAGGAAACAACAGAAAAGATGCACCTTTTATTCCACCCCAGTGTCATTGTTTTAATGTTTATTTTTTTTTTTTCAACGTTTATTTATTTTTGGGACAGAGAGAGACAGAGCATGAATGGGGGAGGGGCAGAGAGAGAGGGAGACACAGAATCGGAAACAGGCTCCAGGCTCTGAGCCATCAGCCCAGAGCCCGACGCGGGGCTCGAACTCACGGACCGCAAGATCGTGACCTGGCTGAAGTCGGACGCTTAACCGACTGCGCCACCCAGGTGCCCCTAATGTTTATTTTTGAGAGAGAGTGTGTGAGTGAGGGGCAGAGAGACAAGGAGAGAGAGAGAGAGAGAGAGAGAGAAAATCCCAAGCAGGCTCCATGCTGTCACTGCTGAGCCTGACGTGGGGCTCAAATCCATGAACCCATGAGATCATGACCCAACCTGAAATCAAGAGTCAGACATTTAACAGACTCAGCCACCCAGGTGCCCCCACAATGTCAGCATTATAAATTTAACTTCATGCTTGCCCATAAATCCTCAACTCAG